CTCTAGCCCGGGCAAAAGAGTGAGACTCTGTCTCAAAAAAAAAAACAAAAAAAAAAAACACAACTAAAAACTCTCTTTACCTCACTTCTCCCTCCACCTATTGCCCAATTTTTCTACCTTCTACTTATATTAATAATAAAACTCCTTGAATACGTGCTTACGAATGTTGCTTGAATTTCTCCCACTCTAGAACTTACTTCAATCAGATTTCATCCCCACGATGCCATCTTCTGATGGTCCCTCTTACAAATCCGCTCTACTTCAATCTTCCCTATTCCCCATCTTAGTACATCTCAGTAAAAAGCAACTTCATCTTTTCAACTGTTCAGGACAACGAGTTATCCTTAACCTTCCTCTCTCAAACCTTCATTAGCAGCTCCATCTGCAAGACCTGTTGCCTCTGATTTCAAAATATATTCGGAATCCAAATACTATAATCTAACTCCTACTAACACCTTGATCTAAGTTTGGACAATTTCAACAGACTCCCAACCGGTTTCCTCACTTCCCCCTGGCTCTGCCCCAAGTCAGAGAAGGGTGGACAAACCAAGGTATCGCCAAGTTGCGGTAAGGCCTAGGGTCGAAGCCATCAGGTCGCCCAAGTTGCGCGAGGAAGGAGCTTGCGTATGAGGATCGCAGGGAGAAGAGTGGGAAAAGACGAAGAAACACCGGGACCACGACTCTACGGTGCAGACGGCTCAAGTCCCGCACTGCGGCTGGAGAAGGAGTGCGAGGGCCGGGAAGATGGCGCTGGGAAAGCCTCACCTGGCCTGTACCACGCCGGAACAGCACCGAGTCCTCCTCCGGGACGCCACCTCCGCCGCCGCCACCGCCGCAGGCCATTGCCATGGCGAGCCTAGCGAGGGATGCGCGGCGTGGGCTCGGTCTCTGCTGAGTGACGACTTCCGCCACCCGGGGCTTCTGGGAGCGGAAGAGTACAGAGGCCTGGAGGGCGGCCTGGTGGCACTCCGTAGGCTTTTTATAAGTGGCTACTCCCCTCCCAACTTGGTCGCCTGGGTTTTTCTTTTTCTTTTTTATATATATATTTTTATTCTTTTTTCCCCCCATAATCCAAGCAGGGACACACCCGGGTTTTTCTTTTCTCTCTCTCAGTCTTCTGATTTCATTGTGTTGCATTTTTGTAGAGTGATTCCACCAAGGTGTTTTTTTTAAACAATATATTTTCTTAAAAAATAGTGTCATTTGCATGTAATTTAGAACATAGGAATAAGCAATACAATAAACATCAGTCCAGAGGTAACCAATAATATAGCTACCGTTTATTTATTTATTTATTTTTGTAACTCCAAGTCTTTATTAGGGGAAGTTAACTTCAATTTGCCCTTAATAATGTCTGTTCTCTTAATTTATGGATAAGTTATTTGTAACTCCAGGAAGGTTCATAGTGTTTTCAGACCCTGGCCCTTGGGGTAAAACCATATAGATTCCAATTCTAGCTCTGCCACTAAGCTGTGTGACCTTGGGCAACCATTTTCATTTCTCTAGGACTCAGGCACTTCATCTATAAAATGCAGATAATTATTATTTTTCAGTTGTAAAGAGTCAGTGAATTGAGTAAAACACCTAGCTCAAACAAGCTCTCAATAAATGCAAGCTATTGTAATTACAGCATCAGCAAGTGGTCTCAAGAATGGCAATAGGGCACTATGACCTAGGCAATTCTTAACTGCCCCACACTTGTCTTAAGCGAGTTTGAGAATGAATTAAAGCCTTGAAATGGAAGTTTCCATTACATTAAGGTAAATGGTTTCCTGTCTCCATCCTACACACTGCAGATCTCATGGGGAAACAAATTTCATCCTTCTACACTGCTAAGACACCTCACAGCACCCCCAATAGTCTTTCCAATGTCTGTAACACTTAAGTCCAAAGTCTTTTGGCTGTACATTGAAGGTTGTCTACAACCTAGCTTCGTCCACATTTCCAATCTTGCCCATGGCACACAAACACTCAACTGTGGTCAAGTTCTTTTTCTTTTCCTGGCACTCCATGTACATTCGCCCACAACTCATAGCTTCCGTTTTTTAAAGTGCGCTTAATATTTCATGCATTTTTGTTTCGTTTTTATTTATTTATTTAATCCTTAAAACAAACCTATGAATTAGGGGCTATTCCGATTGTAAAGTTGAGGAAACTAAGACTCTTGAGTTTACACGGCTGCCAGGAGTCCAGAAAGCAGAGTTCATGCCTTTAGACTCTTACCAACCTTAACATTTGTGTTAATATCTATTCTTTTGGATATTTTCTAGTACATTTTTGAACATAAAAAATGGGATAAACTGTTGTGTACTGCTTAAGGCTCTGCATTGCCCTGCCTCCCCATGTATGTCTTTTTTTTTTTTTTTTT